ATTTGAAAAAAAATTTTTTTTTTTTTTTAAAGAGAGAGAGAGAGAGAATTTTCCAACATTTATTTTCTAGTTCTCGGCGGACACAACATCTTTGTTGGTATGTGGTGCTGAGGATCGAACCCGGGCCGCACGCATGCCAGGCGAGCGCTCTACCGCTTGAGCCACATCCCCAGCCCCATAATGTTGAAATTGTATACTGCCTCGAAGAGTCATATGTTCAAGGCAAGCCTTAGCAACTCAGCAAGATCTTTCTCAAAAAAGGCTGGGGTGTAGCTCAGTGGTAAAGCACCCTGAGTTAAATCCCCAGTCCAAAAAAAAGGGATTGTGTACTGTCTTGAGCCTTGTAGTTCATATGACATCACAAATCAAGTATTATTCTGTTCCCTCAAAAAAGACTTCATTGCATACCTGTGAGTTCACTGTGATGCCTTTAACACTATATAGTTTGGGAACTTCAGGTCTAATTCATTGTATTAATTTTTAGAAAATACTTTATATTGAACTAAAATGTATATACTACTAGTGGTCAATTCACCTCTCACCAAGAGTTTTAGGCAGTTAAATCTAATTACTTAACACCAATACAAACCACGCCCATTTCAGTCCACCTCTAAGGCAAGTGAATCATTAAAGCTGAATCGTCTCTTGTTTTTCACTGATTTGAAAGACTCTAGATGGGTATTATGTATCCCCAGCCCTTTTAAAATTTTATTTTGGAGAGGGTCTCTAAATTGCCCAGGATGGCCTTGAACTTGTCCTGTCTCAGCCTCCTCAGTAGCTGGGATTTCAAGTGTGTGCCCTTGTATCTGGCTTACCTATTCTTTAGGTCAAGAGTCTATAGACTTTCTATAAATGCCTAGAACCATATAGTTTCTGTCACAATCCTCAGTCTGCCATGGTAGTAGAAGGCACTCAGATAATACGACAGATGAGCTTGTGATATTCCAAAAATATCAAAAAGATATTTGATATCTTTGCAAAAAGAGCAAACTGAATTGGCTCATGGGCCATAGTTGCTGACCCTTGCCTTAGATTGCTGTAGTTTCCTTAACTGTTTTCCCTGTAGCCAAATCTTCGAATATTTATTGAATGTCTTTTTTTTTTTTTTTGTATTTGAAAATGTTTGAAGACAAGGCTCCCTGTACTGCTTCTCTGTACTTGCTTTTCCATAGTTTTCTTTACATGCATTTTTTTCCCCCTTTTTCTTTCTTTTCTGTTTGGTAGTGCTGGGGTTCAAGCACAGGGGCTCTGATTTGTTAGGCAAGTGCTTGCTCTACTATGAAATCACACCCTCAGCCCTGTTTGCTTCTTACTCTGAGCTCAGTAGAGTTATTCAGCAAGTCTGGATCAAAGGAATGCTGACAGTTGTTGGTATCTTTCCTGTTAGATAGTAGGAACAGAAAAGCAGCTGCAAAGGAGGTCACACAGTTTGCTGATGTCTCCTATATAAGTGGGTTCCAGAAATTAGTGCTGTTTTTTTCATTATCACTGGTACTCACAAGTGGAGATAAGCTGGATAGTCTTTTTGCTCTTGAACCAGTTTTAGATTTGATTATATCTGCACCAGAATCCTGAATAACTTTGGACACTACATAGAGCTAGGGAATAAACCAGTGTTCAGTAAGTTTTCTAGGAGTGAAGAAATTAGAGTAACCAATTATTCCCCTTTATGACTCCACTAATACATGCACACTTGCTCCTGAGGATGTGTTATAGGATCAGGAAGCTGATTACCAGCCTGGACAGTGAAACACCAATGAAACAGTTTCTCAGTGATAAGAAGTGAGAAGAAGAATTATCAGCCTTTTTTCTTTACAAGGCACTACTGAGGTCTGCCTCATAAAAAGGAAGATTAAATGTGTTGTTGATACATGAAGCCCTTTTGTGTTTCTTGCCTCCCAAGTTGCTTGGATTACAGGTGTGTGCCACTGCCCCTGGCCCCCCCCTTTTTTTTAACCTTTAAATTTTATTATTATTTATTTATTTTTGTTTGTTTGTTTAATTTGGTGCTGGGGATTGAACACAGAGGTGCGCTCAACTATTGAGCCACATCCCCAGCCCTTTTTAATATTTTACTTAGAAACAGGGTCTCTCTGAGTTGCTAAGTGCCTCCCTAAATTGCTGAGGCTGGCTTTGGACTCAGAAGTACTCCTGCCTCAGCCTCCTAAGCCTATGGAATTACAGGAATGTGCCACCACACCCTGCTTTTTTTTGTTTTGTTTTGAGACTGGGTCTTATTAATTTTCTGAGATTGGCCTTGAACTTGCAATCCTCTTGCTTTAGCCTCCAAAGTCACTGTGATTATAGGTGTTGTTCCATTCTGGGTGGAAAAACATTCCTAGAACAACCTATTCATATTCTCCCAGGGTTGACCTTAACAAGGTCTTCCTTTGAAGTATTGGTATCCAGTACCACTTGGGCAGGTTAATTAGCCTAGTTGACCAGCTACCACTTTACTTTTTTTTTTTTGTTTAATATTTATTTTTTAGTTCTAGATGGACACGATATCTTTATTTATTTATTTTTAATGTGGTGCTGAGAATCGAACCCAGTGCCTCACGCATGCTAGGCAAGCGCGCTACCACTTGAGCCCCATCCCCAGACTCACTTTACTTTTTTATCCATTTAAAATCAGAATAATTTCCATCATGGCATAGCTTTTCTTTCACTTCTTATGTTTGGATCTTTTTGCCAAGAACTTCATCAACTACTTAAAAAAAAAAAAATGTGTAGACCAGCTTAGCCTGCACTTCAATGCATCCTTTCTTTCTTAGAGCTCTATGAACTGTCACTTGAATGTTTAAGGATAAAGACAATGTAACATTGAGAGAAGAGAGGAGTTTTGCATCTGAATTTTGTTATGGAGTAGAATGGTTGACTTAAAGCTATATCCTAAAGAACTGTCTTCTCAATACCTAGAAAAGCTGAATAAAATATTGATAAACATCCCTAGTCCTTTTTAAATTTTTGTTTTGAGACAGAATCTCACTAAGTTGCCCATGCTGGCCTTGAACTCGTGACTCAGCCCTGTGTTGCTGAGATCATAAATGTGTGCCACTGCAGCCGACTGTAAGTCCCCTTCTTAAGATCAGGGACTTATGTTAGTCTTAGTACAGCTAACAGAATAGCACTTTATATTTGAGTGTTATAAATACTAAAAATTGGGGAAAGAAGTACTCATTTCATGTAATGGACCTTACCACCAAGTAACTAGAAACATCCAGGCTTTAACTTGAGTAATGTGTATAATGTATAATATGTGCATGTGTATGAAGGGTAGAAAGTCAAGGGTAGCTGACAGGTCATAAACAAGACAAAGTCACTAAAATAGTTTGATATTAGGAGATAGTGCAAAGCCTAGCATCTTATAACATTGAAAAATGTTTTTGTTATTTGGGCAAGGAACGAACCTAGGGCCTTCTGCATGCAAAGCCATTGCTGTATCACTGAACCATACCTCTAGCCCTGCCAGATTTTTAAAAAGAAGGGAACAAGTGAGATAAATTGAGAACTAGAATTAAAGTTAAAGGAACACATCTTTTAGATTATTTTCACTAACAAAACTTTACTTTGTCATGGTCTCCAAAGACAGTGTGAAAATCTTTGATTGTCATAGTTAATTACCTTACTTGGGTGTCAGGAAGTTAAGCTGGAAAATTGTTAGGATGACGGAATCCTGGTACTAGCAGCCTATAGGGCTTGGTGGGTATGTTAGCCAAGTTTGTGGCACTCGCCTATAATCCCAGTGGCTCGGGAGGTTGAAGCAGGAGGATTGAAAGTTTAAAGCCAGCCTCAGCAACTTAGCAGAACATAAAAAGGGCTGGAATGTAGCTTAGTAGTACAGTGCTTTTCTAGCATGTGCAAAGCCCTGGGTTTAATCCCTAATACTATCAAATACTCTTCCCTGCCTCCTCCCATAAAAACCCTCCACTGTTCTATATAATTAAATCAGTAATAGTTCTTAAATTCATAAAACCAAATGAACAGTAATAATTAGAAACCACGTGTGTGCTCAGAACTTAAATGTTAATAATTAAGGGATGGTCATGGTCTGTAGTTCAAGAGTTTTATCTCACCATTATTCAATATTTTATTATAGGGTGAATCTATTTATCAGACTTACTTTGTCTTAAGTTTCATGGTAGGCTAAAGGTATATGTCATATTATTAAAATTTTATCTTTAATGTTATAAGAGACTTTTTAAATTGGGGCTGGGGGTTTAGCTCAGTGTTTTATCACTTGCCTAGCATGTAAGAGGCTTTGTTTGATCCCCAGCACTATTTAAAAAAAGAAGAAGAAGAAGAAAGAGACTTTGTTTTTGTTTTTTGGTCCCCTCATTGGGTAATGAACAGTGCCAAGTGGCATTGAGGGATCAAAAAAAAAATCTGTTAGTAGAAGAGGAAGAAGGTGGGGATGAGCAGGGAGCTGACAGGACATGGAATTTGGGCCTGTGCCTGCCCTAGTGGCTTGCCTTGGTGGGAAGGTCATGGAATACTTCATTTTCTGGGGTCAAATGAAGTGAACTTGCCATGATTGCCTTATGCTGTGCAAGCAATACTAGGCCAGGATGTGTGTGAGTGAGGATGCTGGGAGATTATGCTACTATATGCCATGGAGAATCAGGGCTTCTTTCCTAGGCCAGGGCCTGGGGCAGGGAGGAAGCTGAACTTTATAGTGGGTATAAAGAAAAAGAATATTCCCTTAAGCTGACATTGCTTATTCAGAGACACTGAGATTTGCCAAAAGTATAAATTTCTAGGATCTTTTCTACTTTGCTATGTTCTCTTTCTAAACTGCTAAAATCACTTCTTCCTTCTGTCTGCATTAACCACAAATAATCATTCTGGTGGCTGGGGTTGGGGAGGTAGTGAACAGCCGTTTCTGTAACATCAGCCCTAGAGCAATCACGTGGGCAGGGTTTGCCTAACCAGAGAAAATGGAGTTTTTCAGCTTGCATTCTTAACTGGAAATAAAGTGCTCTCCTTATTCTCCCCTGCAGGTCGGTGAGCTGGTAAAGGTTACGAAGATTAATGTGAGTGGTCAGTGGGAAGGGGAATGTAATGGCAAACGAGGTCACTTCCCATTCACACATGTCCGTCTGCTGGATCAACAGAATCCCGATGAGGACTTCAGCTGAGTATAGCTCAACAGTTTTGCTGACAGATGGGAACAATCTTTTTTTTTTTTTTTCCAATTACCATCTATATAATTTTCTTACAGGTGTCAAAAGCAGTCTAGTTTATATAAGCATTCTGTTACCTGTGATCTTTTTTTAGACTGAACTACTCCATTCCTAGTCTTATTTACCATATCCAGGGTACGAAACTGGAGGGCTTGTGTGGTTATTTCTGAATTGGCAGTTTTAGGTGGTAGTGGCTGTGCCTGTATCAGAAGGGACAGGTGTTTTACCTCCTTTCTCTCAAGCAGTGCAGAACAACCTGTGGGATGCTGATGGACAAGGGAGGAGTGTTACACACTGGTTACCCTGACTTATCCAGTGGTTTTGTTTTCATCTGAAATCATACTATCAAATGGCAGTAGACTGTTCCCTTCCACCCCCTTGAAGTAATCATGCACCATGTGAATAGTGCCCAGTGGGATTGCTTTTTCATTTATGGAACATGACCATTGTATGACTCATTCTGACATTTGAAATCCTGAGAATTCTGAGAACACTACTAGAGGCATTTGTCTTCCTTCCCAGTCAATGCTTCATACTTTTTCTTGGGATTCTTTCAACCCTTGTTATTCTTTTCCCCAAGACCCATAAGTAGGCTGATTCTTAAGATAATGTATATTTTCATTCCAGATGAGGAGCAGGATGTGCAGAGCACTTTATTCAGTGCATAGCTTTAAGCCAGTATTGGATTCACTAAGTGGACAGCCAAACTCCCAGCTCTCTGCCTTCCCCTAAGGGGTCATACTAGATTTACACTGCTGCAGCAGCTAAAGAGATTCCTGCCTGATGGGTATCAACAGGGCCATTTCTCCTGAGTGCCAGTATCCTAGGACACCCTGAATTCTCAGATTCTACTTGGAGTAGAAGGACCAATCACTTATAATATTCCATGAAAGGTTTCAGGGCCAAATTCTGCCCTCAGCGTTCTGTGCAACTTATATAAAAGACAAGTTAGAATCATGAGTTTGAGGGTAGAGTTAGTGCTTTGAAAGATGTTTGAACCAATCATGAATTACTTAATGTATTATTCATTTTACATGGCCAGAACAGTGCTTGAAGTACTGTCTTCATTTTTTTTTTTCATGGCTTTTTTTTTTTTTTTTTTAATGTTCAGGTTTAGTTTGTAAACCCTTTTAAAAATAGAATGGTTTATATGGGGTCAGGTGCTCCAAAGAATAGACCTATGAGACCAAAAATAATCTAAGCTATTTTAGACTATAACATGAAACTTTTAAAGTTAGTTCCCAGTTGATAAAGGCACTTGGTGGTCTCTGGTGTAGTGTGACATAGAAACACCTTATACTTTGCTTTGGACCTCATTTTAGAAACATAATGTGTACCTTTCTAATTGCTCTACATAGGTTAATATGATAAATTTTCATTCTTTGAATATATACCAAATCATGGTTATTTTAGTGCACATTGCCTGGCACATAGTGTGCCAATGTTTGTGTGAGTGAATGAGGGTAATGCAGGAGCTTGTTACATGGCCCAGGGAAGCCAGCTGGCACGGGAGTTACATACATTACCACAGGCAAACTTATGAGTTGACGCTAATTTAATGTATTTTTACCTCACACTAAGGTAATGCTTGATGAAGATATTAATAATCAACTTTCAAAATATTAGCACAGTGCTGTGCACATAGTGGGTGCTCAATAATGTCGAATGAACAAATTTGCATACCCAATATAATTCCATCTGACTACTTTTGTTAAATTTTCAGTTATCATTCATACTGTAAAATCCAAAAGCACATTAAATCTTGTTTTCCTGGAAGTATGGCATCTAAAATATTTGTAGAAGAACCTTGTTACAACTGATTTGAATGTTTATATTTTCCTTTGCCTTTGATATTGGCTTGTAATGTCTCTTTTCATCATGTAATATTAGTGGAATATGCAACTCAAATCATAAGAATTTCTCAATGATAAGTTGTCTGGAGCCATTACATAAAGTGTTGGGTTGGATTTGGCTGGGTGTGGCAGTTATTGGATATCAAGAACTCAAAGGACTTCTTATAAATTCCAAAAAACATGCTAGAATTCCCATTCAAGTGCATATTCATTGTCACAAAATAAACTGAAATTGGCTGCTATATTTTTTATAATTGTTTCTGCAAAAGCCCATTTTTTGGATACTAATGTTTGACATGGTTAATTCTTATTAATTTGTTGGACTTCTTTATTGTTAATAATGAAAATAGATAATTTTTAATTTTCCACAAGTAACATATCACTATTAATGGTTTGAAATGGGTGATAAGCAAACCAATTTGAAATAAAATATGAACATTTGCCATTGTATTATAACACTATACACTTTCTTGACAGTTAAATTTTAAAAAATGTTTTTTTGTAGCATGTATTGTATATGTTTATAGTATATGTAGTAAATAAAAATATGGCCAAATGTTTGGCTTGGTGATCTTTTGGAGAAAGTATCTTTGAATATTTGTCACAAATGAGTTAAATCTTTATGCTTAGGGAGTAAGAGGTGTATGTCCTCAACAGCCCGTGAGCAGTCACATCAAATAATCATACACACTGTGGGTGCTTATTAAAGATAGGATTAAACTAGATGCTGTAGTCCAAGCCTATGATCCCAGCATCTCAGGAGGCTGAGGCAGGAGGATTGAGATTTCAAAGTCAGCGTCAGCAACTAAGGGAGACCCTAAGCACTGTGAGACCCTGTCTCAAAATGTAAAGAGGACTGGGGATGTTGCTCAGTAGTTAAGTTTCCCCCAGAGTCAATCCCTAGTACCCCTTGCCCCCAAAATTGGATTAATCATTGATGATGGGTTTAAAGGGTTTCCAGAAATTGTGAAATACTGATTCAAAGGGAGCATAAAAGGGATCATATATATAAAGATCTAGAAACTGGACTGTTGTACAAAGAACATCATATTTGTCTAGGTATGGATATGTGTGGACTTAAGAAAATAAGGATGTTAGGGGACTTTTTAGAGCAAAAGAGAAATTTGGTGTTAAATGTCATGTCTTTAAAATATTAGTGTAGATATCTAATTTCTTCTTTTTTATGTAATACATGCTCAGGATAGGTAATATAGGAAATAACAAAAAAGTAGATTAAACATTAATGTATATTTTTGCCATTCTTCTCAAAACATGTATACAGAAACACAAAATGTGTACATCTGTATACCTAAAAGGTTGACTTTTAGGTCAACCTTTTTGAGACCTGTTGGTAATATTTTAAAATAAGGACAAATTTTGCCTATTACTTATGCAGTATTCTATGTTAGACTTAAAACAGAACATAGAGTTACTGCATAGAAATAGCACTATGTCAACCCAGAGGTAAAGGCAATTCCTCTAAGAGGATCCACCTTCAGCATGCATGAGTTTAGATTTAAGTATGTTTAATTTATGTGTGAGGGTAGGGATTGAACCCAGGGCCTAGTGCAAGCACTCTTCCACTGAGCTACATCCCTAGTCCATTTTATATTTTATTTTGAGACAGGGTCTCATTAAGTTGTTGAGGCTAGCCTCATACTTGGGATTTTCCTGCCTTTGCCTCCTGAATTGCTGGAATTATAGGTATGCACTACTGCACACTGATTCTGTAGGTATATACCATCTAAGTATGCTTCAATTTTTTGTCAATAATAAAGGTACTACCAGCCAGGTGTGACTCAGGAGGCTGAGCAGGAGGAGTATCTCAAATTATGAGGCCAACCTCATTAATTTAGGAACCCCCTGTCTCAAAACAAAAAAATAAAAAAGGATGTTAAAGCACCCCTTGAATTCAATCCCCAGTATGACAAAAAAAAAAAAAAAAACCCTGCCAAAATCTTGTTTTAATATGTTGAATGTTGGGTTCCTTTAGAGTAGAGTGTTCCTATCAGCTCACGTTTTATGACCCTGGCCTTCAGGTTACATTTTATTCCTCTCGAAGATGTGAAGAGAGAAAATGCCTCTACTAGAAAAAAATGCAAAAAAATAATCCAAAGTTTGGGGTGGAGGAGGCTAAGAATTTGGAGCTCTGCTGCCACCCATGTTCTGAAGAAAAACAAAGTGAAAAGATGGGAGGGGGCGCGGGGAGCCAACAAGAACTGAGATTCAAAAAGATCCCTGCTGTTGGGGCTAGGATTGTGGCTCAGTGGCAGAGTGCTTGCCTCACATGTGTGAGGTACTGGGTTTGATCCTTAGCACCACATAAAAATAAATAAGTAAAAGGTACTGTGTCCATCTACAACTAAAAAGATTAAGGAAAAAAAAAAAGATCCCTGCTGGGCTGGGTGTGTAACTCAGTGGCAGAGCAACTGCTTAACGTGCGAGGTTCTGGGTTCATTTTCCTATACTGCAAAAAGGAAAAATAGTGGTAAAGAATCCTCCAGAATTACAGGAGGAAAACTAGCAGGAATAATGCACATCCATCTGGCCTTTGGTCAATGGAATGTTTTTAGTGTTTCTATGGTTGGCCTGATTCACTTGATTTGAATCCTGGACTAGTAAGCACTAAGTATTTTTTTTTTTTATTTTTTGTAGTTCTAGTTGGACATAATACCTTTACTTTATGTATTTATTTTTATGTGGTGCTGAGGATTGAACCCAGTACCTCATGTGTGAGGCAATTGCTTTACCACTGAGCTACAGCCACAGCCCCTAACATTATCTTTCAAAAAATCTTTTCCCTGTGGTGCCGGAGATCAAACCCAGGGCTTTATGGCATGCTTAGCAGGCATTCTGCCATGGAGGCAGGAATATTGCAATTTAGAGGCAACCTGGGCAACATAGTGACATCCTCTCTCAAAATATAAGGCTGGAGATGTAGCATAGTAGTAGGGTACTTGCCTATCATGTGCAAGCCCCTGGGTTTCAATCTCTGATACTGGGGAAAAAAAAAAAAACCAAACATCCTTTATTACCAGAAGGCTTTGACTCCATCTTTTGTTGGCTATCAGGGCTGACTGGGTACTTCATCAAACAGGAATTTTATCAAATTATAACATCCTAAGTGTGGTAGGTCCTATGGAATAGACTGCCCTTGTGAATCTTACATTCTGAAAGATGGGACAAAACCCATATCTTTAATCTGCCCCCCTCCAGCCTCTGGTGGCTTTACAAAAGTAAATGTTTGGCCTGTTTCAGGGCATCACAAAGGCAGGCAAGATTGTGATTTGGGTTTCTCTTTGGTACCGGTATCAAGGATTGAACCCAGGGGCACTTAGCACTGAGTCACATCTGCAACCCTTTATATTTTTTATTTTGAGACAGGGTCTCGCTTATTTGCTTAGGACCTCACTAAGTTGATGAGGCTGGCTTTGAACTTTTGATCCTCCTACCTCATCCTAAATTCATAGGATTACAAGTACATGCAACCATGCCCAGCTGGTTTGGATTTCAAACCTTTTCACTTCAGCTGATCCTCCTTGTATAGTGCACAACTGTACATGGCACTCAGCAAATATTAGCTTTGATTATTGTGCTTCATTGTTCCACTTGGCTGGCTACTTATAGACTTCCTTCTCCCCCAAGTCCAGCTCATCTCCAAGTCCTGTCAGCTCCACCTCCAAAATATTCTCTGTCACTCATTTTTATGCCTCTCTTACCACCATCCAAATAGCTGCCATCTTTTCTCTGGACAACTGTAACAATCTTCTTACTTATCCTCTTTCCCCAAGTAGTTCATTACAGAGTAACCAGGATAATCTTTCTACAAGCAGACTTATCCTCTTTCCTCAAGTGGTTCATTACAGAGTAACCAGTATAATCTTTTACAAGCCTATTTGATCATGGCACTCCCTTATTTCAACCTGTTGATCATAAGAAACCATCTGTGTTCTCTAAAATGGCCTACTTCTCTGTGTTGACATTTTTTTTTTCTTTCAGTCAATTGTTTTCTCTTGAGTTTCTGGCAGGTTTTTCCTTCAGTTTCTCAAACTGGAAAACTTTCCCATTCCAAAAAATACCTCCCTTTTTCTATTTTCCTCTTATTCTCTTGGTTACAACTTGAATGACACTTCATTAGAAATGTCTGAATCCCACTTATAAACATCACATTACCTTCACGATGTTCATTACAGAATTTAATCATATATTTCCATGATTATTTAATTCTAGCTCTTCTATTCAACTATAACTCCAGCCAGGCAACAGCAACATCTAATTTTACTCATTATATCTCCAGAGCCCAGCACAGAGCCTACCTCAGCAAACAAGAAATAGTGTTGAATGAATACTGTTTTCTTTAACATGGTGTGGTGCTGGGAAATAGGAACCCAGCAGGACACCTCTCAGCCACTTTCCCTAGCATCTCTGGTCTTATGTATATTCAAATACTAGGATCATTTTAATATTAGAGTAAACCCCAATAAGGAAGGTCTTTTCTGTTGCAAAAATATGAATTCTGCCAGATGTGGTGGYGCATGCCTATAATCCCAGCAACTCAGGAATCTGACATAGGAGGATCACAAGTTTGAAGCTAGCCTCAGCACTTTATTGAGGCACTGTCTCAAAATAAAAAAGGATGGGGATATGGCTTAGTGGTTAAGTATCCCTGGGTTCAATCCCCAGTACCAAAAAAGAAAGAAAGCAGTTAACAAGGACTTAGTTAAAAGTCCTTGTGAATTATCTCTGTGCGTAACGATTAAGGTTCTGTCCCCATCCTAATGTCAATGTGGATTCAAAATAAGATGCACAAAATAAGTTTGGGGACAAGTCCTTTTAGGAGGCAGGTAACAAAAAAAAAAAAAAGAAGAAGAAAAAGAAAAAAGTATATCTGGGCATGGGCATCGTGTACATGTCTGTAATCCCATGTAATTCCAGCAACTCAGTGGTAAAGTATCCCTGGGTTCAATTCCACCATCACCCCACAAAAAAAAGTGTAACAAGAGGAAATTATTTATTTACATTCTTTGCTCATTTCTTTTCTTCCACTAGAATCAAAGTGCCTTTTCTACTTTCACTTTTTCTTTTGTTTTTTTTTTTTTTTTAGAAGAGAATTTTACTTTTTAATATTTATTTTTTAGTTCTCGGCGGAGGACACAACATCTTTGTTGGTATGTGGTGCTGGGGATCGAACCCGGGTCGCACGCACTCCAGGCGAGTGCGCTACCAGTTGAGCCACATCCCCAGCCCTCACTTTTTCTTTTGAATCTAAAGAAGTTGCCCCAGTTTCTCAGTTCTCAGGCATGCCTGTGGGATTAGGTTAATGTCTGAACTACCTAGTTGCTTGTTCCTTAGCATAGGCTCTGCCATATGATAAAGGGAAGTCTTTTTTTTTTGGTGGTGGTGGTGCTGGGGATTGAACCCAGGGCCTTGTGCATGCAAAGCCAGCACTCTACCAACTGAATTATATCCCCAGTAGCCTAAACACAAATTCATTTTGCACACTGCTCAACTACATTTCCCATACTTCCCTGCTATCATATACTG